TATGATGTGGCTTATGAGATGGGCAACACATCTGCAACAAAACTAACTTTGATTTTAAATGGCACAAAAATAATTTCTTACCAAAAAGGACTAGTTTCAACTTAAAACTGCTGAACCTTCAGGGATCCAATGGCCCTATATAGACTAAATTGTATAATTTTGGAATAACTTAAGAAAGTTGGTAAAACTTACCGCTTTAAAGCAGGTCACTTTACTGTGTTAATACCAAATGGATGTATAAAGCATGTGAAAATAAAAATCATTGAAAAGGGCATTACAGTATTTCAAGTTATTTTCACATCAGGTTTTGTTCACGTTTTTAGCTTTGGAGGGGACAGTTTTGCTCTGTTCATTTTTTGCATTTTTACAGCCTAAATGGGCATTGAAATATTTTGGTAGTATAAATTTTGATTGAAAGGCGTACCAGGAGTATAGTAAAAAATTACTGATATATACAATTGCACTAGCAATTGGGTGCAACTTTTATCACAAGATTAAGAATAAATTATTTTGAAGTCAGGTGTGCATCTAAGAAAATCATGACAGCTATGAGAAAATTCCTTTTATATCTATTAAAAACAGTTGATCTACACTGGCTTGCCCATAGGTACCATTTAAGGAACATCTTTATATCTAGAATACTTTTGTATGAAAGATTATTTCAAATATGTTGTTAAAATTATGCAGGCTTATTAGTTATTAAATATTGCTTCATTTGAATCACTTTTTCATGTTTTAATATATGAAATACAGTTTTATAGTATCAGAGTGTCAAAATTATGAGGCCCTTGAAGAATGAATAATTGGTGACCTTGGTTTTGTTTGAAAGACAATGTAAAGTACCAGGTACCAGTTGAAGTTATTGTTACAGATACCAGTTATCCAGTAGATCTGGAACAGAATGGCAGAAATGTTGAATTTGAAGTTTTTGTGTATCCATTTCATGTTTGTTTTTTAACTTGATAATGTTTGTTTTTTGCCATTTTTGCATTTGTTGATTGATACCATGTGCTTGTTTCATTATTTTTTAAAAAGTTTTAAATATCTATTGCTGTTGATATATATGTGTGTGTACTAATTACATGTTTTAAGTGAGTGGTATTATTGGGTAAGTTTTGTGTAATTATGTCTATTTCAGTACAGTTGTACACTTTGAACTTTACTTTCATGATAATTAGTCAGTTCACTTTCATTATATACACATATTCTGAGCAATTTTCAAAATATCAGCAGTGGAAATTCTTGAAATTACATTAAATTGCTAAAACTACTTACATGTTGTTGTATTATTATCATCCTTACTGTAAACCCCCCTCTTTTCAGAAAGCAAGTAAAAAGGAGATAAACATGCTAACAGGGCAGTCATAAACCAAATTACCAAGAAAAATAGACAATGTCATTGCCAAAAGAAAAAAGATGAAAAAACAGAAGTGAACAAAACACTTCACAGAAAACTAGACAGAACAGCATGAACCCCTCCAAAATCTTGGGCAACTTATATGCTCTAGAATGGTAAGCCGAGTTCCTGATCCACTAGTAAAGTATTTTTTAGATATTTATGACAAGCTATGACCCTTTATTTATCCTCAGCTGTTCTGTGTAACTCATCAAACACCAGCAATTGTTTTCAAGGATACTTTGTTCTTATGTTTTTATTAACTTAAAGAAGTACCTAACACATTGGGTAAAAACTTCCTGTCAATTAATATTTCTGACTTTTTCTCTCGTCCCAGGATGAAAGTTGAATGTGAAACATGTGTTTGCTAATATAGAGACAGCAACCGTGTAAGCTTATTGCATAAAGGTTTATATTTCAGAAGATATAAGAGTTAAACAGCCATATTTTGTATATAGGTTGCATATTCTATCTAAAGCTATAAAACGTTATGCATAATGACAGGAGAAACTTTCTTTGGATTGGAGTCAGTCTTGGATATTTGGTCATGTATAGTAAGAGAAAAATCCTTGCCAATATTGATGTCAAGTTGTTGATAGTTAGGGTCACAGATACCAAAGATAGACACAAATTACTTCATAAAGGAGGTTTCTTGATGATAATTCAAGAGCCCTTGTTGTTGGAATTGGAATGAGACTTGTACATGTGGTCGCATGTAATTTGAGGAATATCCCTACATATAATGATGTCAAGTCATCTTTGGTCAAGGTCACAAATACTAAAATTAGGCTTAAATCAGTGCAAAAAATATGGTTTCTATATGAAAAACTTAGAAATGGAACCAAACTTTGATATTTGGTCACTTATAGATAAACTAGTATGAGAAAGATTCGAAATTCCCTATCAGTTATAGTCAACAGGTCCAGGGTCAAAAGCTCTTAAAGATGCAAAGACCAAATCAAGTTAACGGAGAAATGGGCTCCAGATCACGAACCAAGAACCTAATTTTAGAATTTCGCCAAATTTGAATATATGGTAACATTTTAAAAGAGCAGTAATTTTTATTATGAGAGCAATACATCCAAGGTGACAGTTATTAAAATAGTGCAGAAAATTGGGTTATAGATTTTCAAAGTTAAATTTTAACTCTAGTTTCTTACTTGGTATTTGAATCCAACTTAAGTAAATGGTCACATGTAATGAGAAGATTCGTATTGACTTAGAGGTTAACTCCTCTTTGATGTCACACTTGTGTGCTCTGTCTGAATTCTCAGAACTTTTCTTTTTATTGGAACCAAACTTTGATATATAGTTGCATATATTAAAAGGAAGATTTGATAATGTTTAGATCAATACCTCGAATGTCATGCTTATAGAAAGAAAAAGTAGTCATATGTGCAAATTAAGCATTTTGAGATTGGTCTCTGGCGGACAGTTGTCTCATTTGCAATCTTTTTTCTTCTTATATTTGATGAAAAGAATGAACTCACATAAATGTTATTGTATACGTAAGAGCATTGATGTATAAACGTAGGTTTACACACCCATAGTTAGAGTGAGAAGAAGGCTTAGGAAAAATTCAATGACCTTTGAAGTAAAACTTTCGTATTTTAGTCAGTTTCTCGAGTACAAAAAGTAATATGTCAACTTTATTTGGTCTGTAGAACGGTTTAAGATGTTAGTTAGTGCAAAGATCAACATTGTGTTCACACTTAGGTTACTTTCTCATTTACTATGAATAGTAGATCAACTATATTTGGTCTGCAGAAAGGTTCGGTGATCAATGTAAATGTTTAGTGTTTAGGTCAGTTACATAAGAACTAGGTTACTTATATTCAGTTCATATAATCGCTGTGACTTGCTATCTATGTTGGTAAGTTTTGAATTGAACGAACGATGACTGCGTATTGTTCAGCGGCAAATATTACATGCATAGTGTAGGACCGAATAACATACTATTTGCATCTAATCACTATTTTTTAAATAGCAATTATACTTAAATTGTGGAATTTTTCTTTCGACTTTTGCTAGAACTACTTCTTTCAGTGTTCAAACCTGTATCATACCTAATAAAAACCCTTTTGGGTAACACTGCCGAACGAATCAATCAATCAATTTGTTATCAAAGATCAAAAGGAAATAACTCTAAAAAACTGAGATATTTAACAATGTACTAAGTTTTATGTATTTACAATGGGAGTTGGTATTGTGCAGTTGTTGTTGTTCAAATGCCGCGTCTTTTGTATTTTTTGGATGGATATGGATACTAGTATGCAAAAAGCTTTGCTATAGAGAATATAGCGTAACCCAACAACATTTTCATGTGTCTATCTCAAGTCAGGAACCTCGTCAGCAGTTGTATGTTATTTCTTAATGTTTTTAGTTTATTAGAGAATTGGGTCTTGAAAGGAGATCTTCGATTGCTCCAATTCAATTCATTTTTTATTGTTATAGACTCGGGACGATTTGCAGCTACCAGTCTATTGTTTAAGCACTCTAAATATCTTTTGGTTATTTGGTTGCTGGCTAATTGATGTATAGCCCACATCTCCTTTCATTCATATTAGTTCTCATACTTAGTATATTCTACGAGTTTTATAATCATATATAATTATATGCAATGATGCATCGAAACGAATATTACAGCAGCTTACAAAAGAAATACATATTGATGCCTCCATTGCTAAATATCAGCTACATTTCATGCTTTTCCATAAAGATTTAAATATCGTGACAATTTTAATGACTATTCGAAAGCCATTTTGGAAAGAGACCTTTGTAGTTAGATTTTCAATTACTAAGTTAATTTCAATATCGATAGCAAAAACTATATATCATAGATAATAGTGTACTTTAAAATTCATCCTATTGTTTATTATAAATTGTTGTGAATACCTCGAGAAGAATCAATTGTAACTATTTATTAATTTATGGAATAAAACGACATTTCCACATCGTACACAGTTTGAATGCAACAGTTGCATTGGCAAATTGCCTGCTCTGTAGAGATGGCTTTAGAAATTTGATTTGAAATGTGTGAAATGATTTTCGACATTTATAAATAAAAAATTCCAATATTGTGGGAGTAGACAATACACCTCCAAAAGATTAGTTGAAATCGATCTCATTAACATAAAGATGTGGTACGCTTGTCAAGAAGAAAACTATCCGGCTACAAATATCAAAGAGTCGAGAAAGAGAAGTCTATGGCTCCAGACATGTCAACGCATTGCCCTTCGCAATAGACAAACAACCTTATCATTAGGTAACCTGGCGGACAACCAAACGTTAAAAAATGAAAATTAACTGACTTGTGTATGCAAGTAGAAAAAGACAAAAACTGGACATTATGTATGTGGCGAGGTTACACATTTGTCGGCACTCTTAAATAGCTTCGTCATAGTCAAATTACTAGACATGAATATTCAAATACACATATTAGTATCAATGGAAAGGAAGCTTTGATGTGTGTGTGTGTTTATCAAGTGTTTCCTTTACTTTTTCTTGTGTCAGTCATTCAAGGGAATCATTTATATAAATACCAAGTCATGGGGTTCATACAACACAGCCATAATGATAATTAAAATAAAAAAAAAAGTAGCCGTTTTAAATAAACAAATTGTATAATTGTGCTTGCAATTTCATATTGTTACAATTCATTTACAACAGAACAAATAAATGCGTAGTTATCACAGCTCTCAAAATATATCACAGAAATTATAAACCATGATGCGTAAGATAGCTTATTGCATTTGAATATACATTGATTTGTAATGCTTATTTAAAAGCAGGTGGTTTTTATTAGCACCAGCTGGTGAAGACAGAAGTCAAATCTACAGCACCATATCAGTTTCTTTTACATACGTAAGGATTCCATTGAAAGATTCCCATTTAAATAGTTATAGTGTTTCCAGGCCCCCCTAAAACATCAATATTGTCAATGTATTTATCCTGAATTGTTTAAAAGATACCAACTGATTTCACTTTTTTCAAGAATCAGTTTGTTCCGTTTTTTGAGTTTCTGATTGTTCTTCTTCAGAGTTTTCGGTTTTTTGCTGTTCAGTTTGTTCTTCTGAATTTTCAGTTTGTTCTTCTGTCTTTTCCGTTTGTTCCTCAGTATTTTCAGTTTGTTCCTCAATTTTCTCCGTTTGTTCTTCGGTGTTTTCTGTTTGTTCTTCAGTATTTTCAGTTTTGTCCTCGGTATTTTCGGTTTGTTCCTCTGTGTTTTCTGTTTGTTCTTCAGTATTTTCAGTTTGTTCCTCTGTATTCTCTGTTTGTTCTTCTGTTTGCTCTTCAGTAGTTTCGGTTATTTCTTCTGTAGTTTCGGTTTGTTCTTCTGTAGTTTCGGTTTGTTCTTCTTGCGTTTGTTCCTGATTTTCTTCTTCTGCTTTGACTTCCTGACATTGTTCCGTTAGAAAGTTTGCAAATTCTAAAAAAATACATATTTTTTTACAATTTGAGCAAAAGAAACAAACTGTGATTCAAAGAACTTTATTGCATTTGAACAACGGCACAAGGCCTTACTTTTGTTTGTTTGCAGATTTCTTTAATTTACACCGGCTGTGGATTCGAAAAAAGGACAGTTCGATTTATGTGATATTAGTCTGAAGACAAGTGTGACAAAAAATGACAGCCTTTTAATCTCCGTAGCACAATATGATAAGATGTCAATTTGTAACACTTCGATTTCTAAAGTGGAATATCTAAAACAAATCATTTGGATCAAAAATAAGTGTGAAATTTATAGACTGTCTTTTCATACTTTTGATAGCCATTTTTATGAAAATTAAAAGGAAACCCAGATAAAATCATACAAAATGGTCTTTTTGTATCATGTTACTGTTCCTCTGAAATGAGTTCAATATTATTGCATAATTTACTTAAAAGTCAACGTTGCGTATTTAAAAAAAACAAACCTGCAGTAAATATAAAGATAAGAAGATGTGGTATAATTGACAATGCGACAACTCTCCATCAGAGACCAAATGACAAAGAAGTTAACAAATACAGTAAAAGAAATAGAACATTAATATAATGGAATATGTAGACAGCTCTCTCACAAGCAAAAACCTAACTGTAAAATATAAAGACATACACTACAGGCACGGGACACATTCTACTGCATCCACACAGCACGAGTAGCACACCCTGCAGTAAATATAAAGATAAAAAGATGTGGTATAATTGCCAATGAGACAACTTTCCATCAGAGACCAAATGACAAAGAAGTTTACAAATACAGTAAAAGAAATAGAACATTAATATAATGGAATATGTAGACAGCTCTCTCACAAGCAAAAAAACCTAACAGTAAAATATAAAGACATACACTGCAGGCACGGGGACACATTCTACTGCATCCACACAGTACGAGTAACAAACCCTGCAGTAAATATAAAAATAAGATGTGATTTGCATATTTTTGCATACTTTTCGCTAAGAGTCACCTGTCCATGTTTTTGCACATTCACTTGAAATCATTATATAAAAGTTTCATATACCTTCTCCATCGATGAAGCCGTCTTCGCTTGTGTCAATTATTTCCAGTTCCTTCTGAAATATTTCAGCATCTTCATCTGATAATGGTTCACTCCCTCGATTTTTTAGTACTTCAACTAAACTTGCAATGCAGCAGCGTCCATCAGAATCTTCGCTTTCAGCAGCCAAAATTTTAAATGCTTCTACAATTGCCTGACGTGCCTGGGCTACCGGAACCCAACATTTATTGAACCACTCATCAAATTCGTCCTTTGATAACCCGGTTGTTCCTAAAGAGAACATTATATCACTGAATAAATAATTGTGACAAAATATTTGCGAGCGGTACTGCAATGCTTGTATATTGGACATAGAGGTTAATTTTCGGGAGGAGAAAAGCGGTGGCAAATTTGATTGATATGTAGTGACTATTTAACTATGATATTGTTGCACTTATTATATTGCTTTATACATCAATACCCACAAATTGCATATCTTTTTTATCAATAATTGTTATTGCTATGTTAATGTATGTTTTCTGTTGTTTACCCACATGCAAAGATTACTATAGAAAAATCGACTGTTCTGTTTAAGCCTGTTGTTGTTGTTTATATATATAATTGTCATGCTTAAAAACGTATCATATATATAGCTTTCCAAACTTTTGGTCTTGAGCTTAACGGAGGAGGTTTATTCCAGAAACTCGTTTCATGCGCACATACATTTTTATAATTTTTATAATACGTTAATTTTACCAGGAAGGCTAGTATGCTGGTGTTGTGAATGCGACCATTTTGAGGTAAACTTCACAATCAGTAGTGTAACCTACGTTTGATTGCTTTCACCGTCTTACAAATTACGGAAGTTACCAAATCGTGTAAAACAATTGTATTTTTTATTATTATAGTGTTGACTAACACCATTAAACAAATTGTATTAATTATAGTCCTCACCACCATTGTAAAGAATGAATTTTGGATTATTTTCTTTGATCAAAAAAATTTCAAATTTGGCAGGTTTATGGAAAGGAAAATTTGCTTTCATTCCACGGCACAGGTTTTATATGCGGGGTGGAACCCTTACAATCGTGGTGTTGAACACCATTGTGTTCTGAATGCTTCTGTCCACCGCCAGGGGCCTGTTCACAGAGATCGACATATTCTTCCAGTATTTGTTATTATTCTAAATGCTATTAGTTGCCACTGTATATTTGTTATTAGTTTCTATTTGTATATTTTAACTTTATGTCATTCCGTATTTATTGGAGGAAATAAACTGACAATAAAACAATCAATCGATATACCAAAATCGTAAAAAAATATTAGCTATAAAATTGATTCATTCCATGCTCAGGTAAAATCATCTGTTTTAATTTTGTGGTAGATTTTTTAATGATTCTAATCTGACAGATTGCAGATCCCTACTTTTAATACATTTTTCAGGCTTTTTTCTATACAAATTAGGCGACAGACACTAGTGAATTATCTCCTCTTAAAGTTAAGAAATTGCTCCCTTGAAACATACCATCAGCATCGAAGTTTGCGAATACTTCGTCAATGGACTCGTTAGTTGGATTGTTGCCCATGCATTGTAATATTGTTTTAAACCCATCTCGTATGACTACACCGTCTGTACAGTTTTCCGAGAACAACACATCCAACCCTGAAAAAGAAGACAATCAGTTACCGAGATGTGTCTGTGGGAAATTTGGGATTTCAATTTTTGTATAAACTTTGCTTATTTTAGTCACATGCGCTTGGACATCAACCCCTTCTTTCATAATTCTTATCTATTCGTATTAAAAATGAAGGACAGCACACGTTAATTGATTGCGTAAGTATCAACAGGAATACTTTTATTAAATGTAACAAAAGTAAACTGATATAAAAAAGAACTTTATTGAAAATAGGTTTCACAGAAAAAACCTTTATAAAGGGTCAATGTCTACGCGTCTGATTTTATCGCCTATTCACACAAACGTTTCTTGCTCGTTTTGCCACAGCTTTATGATAATATATTGTTCATTATTTGATAGCAATAGGTTTACTATCTGAATCCAAGAATAGATCACAAACAAAAGTATTCTGGACAAAGTTAACTAGAAATTCAAGTTCAGTTATGCGCATTGAAAACATATATAAAAAATGTTACGAAAATTTAAATAGATTTATGTTATTCCAAGATATAATCAGGACTGTGGCATTGTTTTCATTAAATCTGCATTAAATCTGACTGAGTTGATTTCTTAATAGATTTGCAAATAGATTTTCATATCAGATATGTTTTTATATTAAACAATGAAAAATAATATATAAGCTTTATTTTAAGTCGGCATTTTTCAAAATAAACCCGCTGCATTTGTTTGCACCTGTCCTTAGTCAGGAACCTGATGTTCAGTGGTTGTCGTTTGTTGATGTGGTTCATAAGTGTTTCTCGTTTCTCGTTTTTTAGATAAATTAGACCGTTGGTTTTCCTGTTTGAACGGTTTTACACAAGTCATTTTTGGGGCCCTTTGTAGCTTGTGGTTCGGTGTGAGCCAAGGCTCCGTGTTGAATTCCATACTTTGACCTATAATGGTGTACTTATACAAATTGTGACTTGGATGGAGAGTTGTCTCATTGGCACTCATGCCACATCTTCTTATATATCTATCTAGACAAAATATTTTACATTTTTTTTTGGTCAAATGAAATAGGGAAAGTACTAAAAATCGTTTAAAACTGGAAAGACAATTGTAATTTAAATTCACCTGACCCGCTTTCTTAAAAGTAACGATACATAATTTCCTTTCAACATCTAGGTTTTGATAAATAGAACAATAAATGGGCATACATGTCCTCCTGTACTTTAGTGTTACTTACTTTGTCTATCTTGTTCTTCCATTTGTGATTATACTGGTGTCTACCTCTGAAATAAAGAGCACCACTAATAACAGTAATGAAGTTTTAAAAAAGCAAAGACAATGATTTTGGTGCTCGTCCCAATCTACCTTTTATTTGTTTAATTGTTATTGGTGTTTTTCGTGGTTTGATTTAGATGTACGAAAAAAACAAAGAAAAAAATCACTGATTATGCGTATAATGGTTAAGATAAAAGAAATGCAGGCATATTCTATTAGTCATATTGCCCGACCTAAATATATTGATGATTTACTGTTGGATGCTTTACGTCCAGTGGCAAGTATTTCATGCATATTCAGGGCGAGAACAAATTAACAAAATACAATAGGTGGGTCCTGTAATAGAGGCCATAAGGGATTAAGGTCGGGGAAATTTTGACTGCCAGTGGAAAATGAGGGTATATTGGATAGGGACATACATTTTGCATTGCAAGAGGCCACTTACGGACCCTCAAAGAGTTATTGCACGGGTTCTTAACGTGCAGAGAGCGAGGTACTCTCCTTACACGAGGCATCGGTTTTAAAGTCCTTATTCTGACCGGATGTGGCTGTGTACTTGTATATCCCGCACAGCCAAAAGAACGCCATACTTCGACATGGGTTTAACTGCCGGTCATCAGAAGATCAAACTGACCATATTTCTACTCCCCAGTCACCCTTGGGACCTATATAGTATCGACACTCCCATTATAAAAAAACCATGTGTTAAGATTGTATGTGTGATCAAGCATACACACATGCATACATTTACAGTGAACAAGATGCAAACTGGCAAACTGAAGCTGTAATAACATTTAAAGATATATCCTCAATTTGGGTCACACATTTAGATTCTATTGATCTTTAATCTGTTTTATAAGCCTTTTCGGAGCATATCTCCTACGAAGAATAATGTAATCTATACGCGTAAACAGTTTTAGGGTCGCCATTCTTCATAAAACAATGCGTAGTAGCTATAAAATAAATTAAACAATTACGTTATTTAAGCTACGCGTTATGGTTCTGAATAGTTTGTGCATCTGATTTTTTTTTGGTTTACAGGAAAGGGTTAATTCTAATTTTATTTGTCGGTAAAAAAAAACGTGTTAAATTTTATAAGTGCACAATACAAATTTACATTTGGATGAACAGAGCTTACCTTAAAATTAAATCCTTACTTATCTTGTCGTAAAAATGTCGGTGCTTAACTTTCTAAATACTTCACTTTATTATAAAACTTTCAATTAACGCAATTTTAACATATTCAAGTGCCTTTTAAGTTCCTTGCACGGGCGTTACATTATTATTAAATCTTACTTTGAATTTAACCCCGCAATGCAAATATTTATTCAAGCAATGTATATTTAAATGTACATAGAATTTAAATACCAGTGCCTCCCCTTGCAAACAGATTTCATCGTCAATAACTACAAAAGGTTTGTTTATAAAATGTTCAAACATCTACAATTTAATAAAAGTCAACAGTTAATAAATAAATTTAAAATTATTAATTTCAATTTAGAAACATAATTCTTTATCACAAGTTTTAATTAGGATTTTTAATAAGAAATTATTTCGCTTTTTGATTTATTTTATTGATCTGATAAAAGTTGCTACAAACAGACAGGTGAAATAGTATACAAATATTTAAATATGTCCTAGCTAAGTGATACTTTAATGGGTAACACAAAAACAAGTCAGGAAACTTCTAATCTTCAAATTTTTAGGGGGAAAGCATTGAATTTGGGGATATAATATATTTTTTAGGAGCCCTATAAATCCACGGCCATTTGGTTCTTGGATACAGAATTCCTCTTTTTTTGAAAGTTCGATTGCCATAAAGACCCCCCCCCCCTTTTTTTTTCCTCAACCGACAAGAAAGTGAATCTATATAGCTGTTTTGTCGAAGAATTCATATTGTTCATCAAAGCTTTTTTGTTGTTTTTAGCTGAATGTGTGAATATGGTTAACTGACCGGTCCAATGTGAGCTATTGCTGCCACCTGTAATCCCTCTCTTCATCCCAAAGAGCAAATTGGGATGATATATGAACCATGACTCTCCTTATTAAAGTATCAAAACTATATCAAATATCTGCGTTTATACCAACTCATTTAACTGTCATCACAACATTATAATAGAACTATAAAGTTAAAATTAGTTTTGACCATATTAGTGAGCATATTAGGACCAAATGTGTGGAGGAAGTACTTTGATTGACTTATCTTATTAATATGACGAATGAACCCCGTCGCTTCTATTTGATCAAATGAATTTAGGAAATGCATATTTTTCAATCTGAACAAAATATTTTTTTTTTTTTTTTTACTTGGCAAAATTACTCATTACTGCTGAAGTAGCTGATTTTAAAAGTAATATCACACAACCCCAACCGGCATCCAATTCTGGCCTTCTACACGGAACATAGTTTGTGTATAAAAAAAAATAACGAGACTGCACGTAAAAAAAAATTATTGAAAAATGCACTTCACCCATTTAAGCAAGACATGAATCATTTCTAGGTTTCTTATCGAAAGTTACATGGCCTCCGTTACAATATAAAAATTGATGATTACCACTTATGATAAATTTCCTTAGTTATATCTGGGATTTCCATCATATTATTTTATAGAGTTGACTCAGGTTACATGCAACTGTAATGACGAGACGTGGAGTTATGTATAATCATTGAGTAAACATGTTGGTTTAACCCATCGTCCATTTAAAGACATAACATGAAGATTCACTGAAGATACTCCTGATACGCATTGATAAAAAAACTCATAAAAGATACCAGGCTTTTAATTGTGATTGCCAGACCCACGTTTCGTCTACAAAAGACTCACTAGTCATGAATGCTCGAATCAAACAAGTAAAAAGGCCAAATAAAGTACGAAGTTGAAGAGCATTAAGGACCAACAATTCCAAAAGGTTTTACCAAATACAGCTAAGGTAATATATTCTTGGGATAGAAAATCTCGAACAATTCAAAGTTTTGTTTTAGAGTTTTATATTTAGGGAGATCATCACAGAAGGTTTTTTCTTCAAATTTCAGTACCTTAACCTCAATCTTTTTATTTCGTTATGGAATCACAAAAGATATACAAACAAAACATATTCGACAAAAATATCTTACAAATAACTCACAAAGGCGTTTTAAGAATCATTACAACTGTGTATCGTTTCTAAAATAATATATGTTGATATCACCAACGAATCAAATTGGCCATTTAATGATAACGTACCGTAAATAGAAAATAATAGAAAATTTGGGGAAATTACTTGTTGAAATAATTTGTCTCCTTTATAATCTAATAATACCATTATTTCATTCTATTATTTGGTCGTTGCATTACGACTGCCTTTGCTGTACATAACATGTTTAATACAATATGATTAAGACAATAATTGGCTACAAGAAAACGAAATGTGGACACAAGATTTGTATTTCAATCATGGTAACGTAGAACTTGGATTTCACACAAGTATGTTCTGTCTTTTAACCGAAAAACACAAATTTTAATACAAAATTTCTTCTTTTTTTGAAAAATATATGTCATGATCTCAAGTTGGGACCTACTACAAGAGAACATAAACTGACATTACTGGAACTCAAACCGAGTCGGTGTAGTGCACATGTCCCTCGGTGAGCGATACGAGTGCCTCTAGTTACCAAAATTAACCTTGTTTGGTATAGATCGGTACATTTATTTTAAATATAATAATGACGAAAGATCTACTTTTTGTTGTATATCAAGTGAGCAAAAAGTTAAAGAAAATTATGATATGATAATACGAATCATTACCAACGGAAATTAATTTCATTTCTATATTGGGCGTATTCTTCACACCCAAACAAATCATGAAAAGAACAAAAGTATCCAAATATGTTTACCAAATATATCCTGTGCGATGATCATTATTTAAAATATTTGCAGGCTTGAAGCCTCTAAACTATTCCTTCTTTCACCATTTTTCGTCTAAAAACCCGTTCAGAACAATTTTCGTCGACTTTTTTTCTGACTGTTTGTGAAACTGAACCTTAGTAATAAACATGGTTCTAACGGCGGCTTTGTACATTTTTGTATTATTATTGATGGAGTATTAGAAAAGGAACAACTGAACATATTGTCAAATCTGCCTAATATTTGTTTGAGTGATAGGATAATGCTACAACTATGAAAGCAACAAATGTGTGGTTTTATTTATCAAACCTATCTATTTACCGCAAATGCTTCAAACGCTTGTAATTTTTAAAATGCACAGAATTGCGAGACCAAGAGCGCTGCAGTAAGTCAACTCATACTACTAAAAGGAAACAAATACATGAATAAAAAAGAAACTACAACTGTTTGAAAATAAAGAAAACGAGGTCAAATATACTTAAATTGTAAATCTTGAAATCGAAATACATTTAAGAAGCCCGATATACTATTGACATATCTTATTTCAAATACCGTTATGTAAATCGTAAATTTTGTCTATTTAAATTTCATTTGACCCGTTTCTCGGATCATTTTTCATTGATATCTGATAGACAATTACATAAAAAAAAAAACAATTAAAATAGCTGCTCAGATTTCCATTTTCATGTGTGTTACATTTTACTTTAACAATAATTAAAATAATACTAATTAACATAAAAAATTAATAGAAAACAATATTTTATACAACCTACCGTGAGATGAGTTTTCCGTGGTTGGTAAGAGAGGAGAGTGTTTTGACAACAAAGAACGATAATTTATTCATATTATCTACATAGTTTCGCTTAACTAACTCCTAAAGTAAACTGTGACGTGGGGTAAGATTTAAAAGGGACTAAAGGCGTCAAATCAGATAGCCCACAATTGAAATTTATTGACTTTTTATTAGAAATCGGTGATCGAGTACTTTCAAAATGAAATGTTGATTTGACTTTTTAAATACCCCCTTTCGCCTCTGGTTAAGTAAAGCGTTCGTAGCAACCACATCATCCTTTCACAGAGAAATATTTAAATTATTTAAACTTCTGTTCAGTTAGTATTAAATGAATCGACGTGGAGCACTTTCATTCGAAAATTTAATCATTATCTTTACAAGTTTCCACGTACTAATGTAAACAATAACACAAGTTCTTTAAGAAGAAGTGCCTCTACTTTGGTCTAATTTATTTCAGTAGTATGATGCTATTTTTTTAATTTAAATAATTTTATTTTTATAGACTCACCCACTGCATCTTTTGAATTTCAATTACATAACGCAAATAATTTATTGATGGTAATTTAATTGTAATTTTACCATGGTCATTGAAATATTTCTTTGTACACCCAACATATTTTATTACGAATAAGGATATTGATAGTAATACCAAATCATAATAATTTAGTAATTAAGGGATAAAAATACTATATTTGAAGAGATGCTACTGTCAAATACCCAGTTGACGATGGAAATTCTTCAAATACAGTAGTATTGTTCATATTCTAAAGCAATACAAGAAAATGAGGAATATACCAGATACTGGGGAACACTGTCTGATGCAATTCCGCTTTTTAATTTTTATTTGTTACTACTAGTTTATAAGTAGAAGCATTCTGACAATACTTGCATATTGAGTACCAGTATATCTCTATCAGATCATACAATATTACAGAACTTGTGCTTCTTATCTAAACTTCGTTGATATTGGTTTGCTGTTTACAGGGAATCTACTGACCAAAAGTTTCCAGTGGTAGAGTTAAAGCAATGACTTCAAAATATTTACTGACGCCATGATGAATTGATTGACCTTACGGATTATCTTCATCATGTGTACCTAATTTCAAGGTGATGTGTCCATGCCTTCATGGTAAACTATCTTAAACCAGGGTCAACTGATTTCACACTATCACTTTTTTCATTAACAATGTTATATTCGAACATGTGTACTAAATTTCAAGTTAATATAAACATGATACCATGGTAAACTACCCCTTCAACCAAAACTTTAACATGAAAATGTACTTACATGTATTTCTTTCTGTTAAGTGAACCGCTTAAATTTTGGTCAAAGCCCTAATTTTGCATATTTTTTTTTAAAAGTTCACATCATTATGAACATGTTTCAACTGATTTTTATAGTTTGATTTATGCTGTGCTGTTATGCCACTGTCCAAGTTTTGAGCGCCCGCTAATATGTTTATTCCAGTGTTATTCTGTATATGTCTGTCTCAAATCAAGATCCTGAAATTCAGGGGTCATCGTTTGTTCTTGTATGTCATATTTGTTTTTCTTGTTTTGTATATAAAAAGGCCGTAAGATTTCTCGTTTGAATTGTTTTAAATTTGTTACTTCTGGGCCTTTTAATGCTTGCTATGCGGCATGGGGTTTGCTCATTATTGAAGGCCGTGCGGTGACCTATGGTTGCTTCTACGTCATTTGGTCAGTATCGGGTGGAAAGATGTCTTATTGACAATCATACCACATCTTCAAATTTTAAATGTGTTTTAAGCTTTCAATTGATGTGACCTCAACTTCATGCCGGGTAAATTACCTTTAACTTAAATCTTAACCAGAATGGGACAGCCAGCCCAAAAAGGGAGAAGACTTTATTAAGTTATTAACTTGCATCTCATCCCTTTTGCATTTTAAGCAAATAAAATATGTTTAAACTAAACAGACGAAAAATACGGATTAATGAAAGAATAGATGGACACACAGACCGGGAAACATGATGCAACCTTTATCATAGTAGGTGGGGGAAACAAAACAACAAAACGGATATTAAAAGGACAGTAATTGTATGTAGTGTCGACGGCTGCCTTCCTTGTTTGAAGTATATGAAGAAAATAAAAACGATGTGCAACAAAAACCATTACGTTCAGTACATGACTAAGAAAGAAAAAACAGAATATCAGAAATTGGTGCCATCAAAATCGCTTTGCTTCCAGCAAAAATAAATAAGATATCAAATCTTATATTGGACATGCAAATACAGCATATCCAAAACGTAGACGAAAAGACAAATAATGGTTCATAGAACATTAAACAGAAACTTATTGGACAATACAAACACTGCTCAAAACCTTTGCATAAACTCAGCTGCTATGGAGGAATTTATAATGAATAAAGCTTTGGTAAAAGTAGGAAATTTATCACTAGATCAATCAAGTAACACTGGCAATTATCCTTGTTAAAGTCCAGACAGACAGTGATATAACCATGAAAGTTCTATGTTGCCTTTTATGAATTAACCGATACTTTCAAAAATTATAAGTGACCCTAGAACTGTGCTGATAATATAAGATGATATATATTATTTATGATCAGGCCTAACTCCATTAAAAAAGAGGCGGACGACACCAAAGTATATTCAAACTCAAAATTCGAAGACAAACTGACAACACCGGGGCAAAGAACTAAAAGACAGACAACAGTCTAAAAAACACGAAAACTCTAAAAAAATAATCATCGGAAGCGACTTTTCAATGAAATTTTACTTCTAATTTGCAAAAAGACGGGCATTAGAGCTGGAGCGGGAACGGTTTGCTCTTTCCGAACACCTTAGTTTACTTAGTTCAATCTTTAGTTTTCTGTGTAGTTTGTTTTCCTTCTTTCTTTCTTTCGGCCATGGTCTTTGTCTTTCTTTGATTTAGTGTTTTTTTTTTCATTTCCATATGGTATTTTCTTGCAGTCTTTTAATGATTATATAGATCTATGCCAAACCATACGTTTTGATGTTCAAAACGAAAACCTTTATTTTCATCGACTAGTTCAATATCAACAAATACACTCTTTTTCGTAAATCAATGAATTAAGGTTCTTTGACTATTAATACTGCATCGGTCTCTAAAAACACCGCAAAGGACCTCCTTTGTGCACAAAGGAGCACAAAGGACCACAAAGGAGTATGATAAGTGCACAAAGGACCTGAAATTGTTTCACGAAAAAATATTAATTTTTATTAAAATACTCGAGTTAAATCGGTGTAAATTTGAAGATTTACGAAACCGTGTTCCGTAACCGGTACGGATATGCATATGATTACGGCCATTTTCGATAAGATGTTAGTATACCTATAATTATATATTGAAAAGTATTGAGAAAACATGAACATATAAATAAAGACTGGACATTAAACCGGAGAGAAAAAATTAAGCTAACACTGTTTGTAAAGATTTCAATTTCACAATTAATAAGTTTTGTATAATGAGGACTTGATTGCGCTTGGGATGAACAAAGCGTTATATATTCTTTACAGTTAATTATCAGCGTTCAAAGACCGTCTTTAAAAACAATAACATTGTTGAAAAAACAATTAGATGAAATATAAACCATTTTACTCAAAATTTTATCAGAAATAAAATAATATAAAATAAGAGAGTTCTTCACTGAAACATTCAAAGCTATACAAATTCAACATGAATCACTCTCAATACGACTACGTGTCAACTCTAGGTATATTTTTTTTCAAGTTTGTTTAAAATTATGTTTAATTTCAAACCAATTTATGATTTTTAAATTAAATATTTTATTTTCATCAGCATTGCTTTAAGGAAACTGAACTCCTTCTTATTTTTTTTTTATCAATTATCTCAATATATGATAAATCTAATTAACAAGCTACTTAGCGTAGATGATTCTTTATACGGTATTTATTTCTTTTCGTATAATTATTTTAATAGTTAACCATATGCAAAATATCTACTAGCTATTGCAAAAAGTCTAAATTTTATTTCAAATTTTGATTATCCATTAATCAGGCTGATAAAATACAAATAAATGAATTGAGAAGATGTATATATGTCAGTAACAAGCAACCCAACGACACAAATAACTAAATGACAGCTCTACAGACTTTTCTTCATTGTGCTGTGTATACATTTTTGTTCTGATTAAGATTCGTCAAGTAAGAACATTTCGGTAAATACTTTGTTTTTGTGCAGAATAAAATTTGATAAAACAAAGTATATATTGAAATTTCTGAAAAACGGATAGCAAAATTCAACCCCATTTGCTACTTTTAGAATTACTGCCATACCGTTCCCCTTGGTGCCTTTAGATTCTTTCCGTCATAGCACTTTAAGATTCGTCAAGTAAGAAAATTTCGGTACATACTTTGTTTTTGTGCAGAATAAAATTTGACAAAACAAAGAATATATTGAAATTTCTGAAAAACGGATTGAAAAAATTCAACCCCATTTCCTATCTTTAGAATTACTGCCATACCGTTCCCTTTCGTCATAGAAATATATTATTAGTCAAGTAAGAAAATTTCGGTAAATACTTTGTTTTTGTGCAGAATAAAACATTAAAACACACTTGCAAGCTAATCCTAGTACAGTCCTTGGTGTTGGCAGAACTTTCAATTTAGGTTCAGTTTTTTTTACAAACTTTGTTTATAAAAACAAAAAGGTCATTTCGAAGTCAACTCGTGACCATCCAATATTCATTGGGCCAGTGTTTTTCCATTGGGACGGTTCCATGGAGACTTACCACACTTTCTTTTCACACTTCAAAGCTCGGATACTAACGGAAGTGCAATGTTTCGACGTCAAACTTGGTAGCGACGATGAAGGTGGTTTGACAGTTGCATAAGACAGCGTATTTTCAAAGCCGGACAGATTACTCTGCACAAAGCACATAAAAGACAATGTAACAGATTACATAAAAAAACAAGCTGCCTCTAACATCTAATCAAAGATCGCAGATTATGTCCGACATTTTTAACGACAATGGCATAGCAACAGCTGATGACACCATAGATTTCGACACCAAGTCCAATGAACTTTGTAACATCTTTCCGTGTTTTGCCAATTATTATGAGAT